ATGAAGCGTTTGAGGTTTGTTCCTTTATGCGTTTACGGTTTGTTTAGGGTTTTGAAGCTTAGGGTTTTGGATCTTTAGGGTTTAGGCTCAGGTCAACCTTGAAGTACACAAAGAGGGGGGGGCAGCTTAGAATTGGTGTAAATAATGTTTTAGAAGTCCTGCCTCGGCATAGGGCTTATTGCAAATGCGGGATGACAGCTGCACTTCCAGAAAACCTAACCCTCAGGCTCCCAATAGCCCAAAGTAGGTACGGTTGATGATATAAATCCTGCATGACCCATAATAAGGAAGATACCATAATTCCCATAGTTTAGGGTCCTTAAGGTAATGCAGGATTTGTATCATCAACCGTTAGTTTATACTTCATTGGAATCTTACAGCTTACGGTAGAAAGGACCTAAACTAACCTCGCATACCAAGTCTAAACTAACGAACCAAAGACTTTGGCCAAACCCTCAGCCCAAAACTCTACAGCAAACCCCCTAAATCCTAAATCCTAAACTCTACACCAAGCTAGCACCTGAACCCTCAACCCGAAACTCTACTGCAAACCCCTCAAAGGCTCTTCTACAAACTCCAGACTCTGAGACCTCTGCACGCAAAGCCAAAGGCAGCGTGCAGGGCCAAGGGCTCCCTCTGAGGAGTTCGGGTTGACGGTTTACGTACGATATTTAGAATAGCGTCTTGGGGCCCATGATACTATACTTGTGAAAGGAACCACCAAGTAGTATTGGCAAAATATTAAGGCCCCTACATTAGGGTCTTAGGGTTGAGGGTTTAGACTTCGCCTCTGACAGAGAGAGGTGCGACTGGAAATTGGAGACAACACGAACGGACGTGGATGCCAATGTACATTATTCCCTACAGACCCTAAACTTCGAAACCACACCCTAGCGAAGTGGATGAACACTTTCATAAGGTCATTTCAAGCCAAACTGCATGACATCCATGGGACCTAAAAAAAACCTATACTATTTTAGGAGGTTCCTTAGTATGATTATAGTAGAAAGGCTCCCAAAACCATGAGTCGAACCTTTTGCGACACAAACCTAGACTCTGGGTACTGCCCCCCACCCCTGTGACAGTTTGGTGTAGAGCTCGTCTTGAGGGCTTTGTGTAGGGTTTAGGCTTTGGAGTCTAGGGTTGTTAATATTATCGAACTGTTGCAGACGGGGGGCCGCATTCAACCTTAATAAACCCACAAAAACACACAAAACCTTCTTGTAGGGGGGTGGGACATGCGAACCTAAAAAAAGTAAGTTATGATGATGCAGGTAAACCCTGGCTCCCAGAAACCCCAACCCAGAGTTTCCCGAGTTTCGCTCGTCGTGCCGTATGGTGGGACCGGCTCTTAGTATACAGTCCAAGGGTAAAAGGAGGGACCCTTAATCAGGACTCCTAGGTATCTGCCATTATATACCCATTATATAGCCCATTATAGGGTAGGGGTGCCCATTAAGGGTCCTTCCGCTTTCCCTTTGATACAACGTATCCCTCAAGTAAGCAGCCGTGAAACGAACCCCTGCGGCTCTCCAATTCGCAGGAACCCAGATAGATCCCCGAAAGGAACACTTGTGGTTCAGGCTTATAGCCATAGGCTCCATAGTAGATCCTTTTTGGGGGGTTCATATTCAGAATCCTACAAAGTAATCCCAAAAAATGAACTACTATGGGGCCTATAGGTAGGGCCTCGATGGCGGCCAAGACGCTACGGCCCGATCCACTTGGGCATCGGGCGGCGTGTTTGCCTTCGGGTACGCTCTACCTTAAACTATGAAGCCCCACTTTTTTGTAGGTAGCTGTGGTAGGTTAAGGCAAGGAGAGACTCTTGTGTGGGGGGATTAAGCCGGCAAAATTAGAAAAGCTTTCTGGGACTTTCAGATGAAGAGGTCGGGTTTGTAGAACACTCCACCCTCAACCCAAAAGTATGCCATTTTTGTCAACCCCCCTGATGGTGCGAGCTGGGGGGGTTGCTGGCATTGAAGCTTATTTACGGATCAGCACGTGGGAGTGGGAGCCCTGGTAGCATTAGCCGTCTATGTTTGGGTGCTTTGTTCGGACTGTGGCATAAGATACCTCATGGGACCCGCATGGGCTCCAGCATGGACCAAAGCAAACCCTAAACCCTAAACCCTGAATACTAAAATGTCGGGTAGCCTGGGCAAGATACGTTTGAGGTGGGTTTAAGCAAACCTCGACCACGACAACAGCAAGCCTGAACCGCGAATAAATAGAATAGGGCTTTGGGGGGTACTACCCAGACCCTCCACTATCCTCTATTGTACCCTGAATACCTTCCATTGACGACCATCAGGCCTCTATTAAAGCGCAGTTGGGGGTCCTGGTAGGGAACCCCTAAGCAGTAGCTTTGGTTTGGTAACTACTCATTTTAAGGGTTCATGTACCCAAATAGTCCAAATAGTATATACTTAGGCCCCAAAGTACCTATATAGAGACCACTTTAAGGCCAAGGTATATACTATTTGGGTACATGGACCCTCAGGGTCAGCCAGTCCCCGAAATACTTGCGGCCAAAGACCACCAGTGAAACACCGCTAAGGCTTCCCAATTGAAAGACACCCTAAAACCCTAAAATCCAATAATGGGGTCTGTTTTGGGGGTATGCTATGCGAATGTTCTACAGGGACTACAAAGGGTTCAAGCGACTATACTAACCCAGGCTTGAGGTCAAAGGCGACAACAATGCATCGAAGCTGGGGGCATGCAAAGTTAGAACGCTGTTTTGAGGTTTGTGGTTTGGGTTTTGGCTGATACGGTTTCGCTATTCACGGGGTATTATTCAAGCTAAAAGCCGAAAAGCAAGCTAATCGCATCCACCAGTTGGGCTACAGTGATTTTTTGCCAACCCGACGAGAGCCCTGTTCCGGATCATTCCCAGCCTGGGACTCTCCTTAAAAGCTTGAAGTCCTCAAAACGAACCAAGAAACTTTCTGACTAAACACGGCACTTCAAGCAAGCGGAAGTTTTGCAACCATATGACATTCGGGTCATCAACCTTTGAAACGACCATTTGTGAGCCCTGCCGTCCCTAAATAAAAGGCATCGCCGCGCCTCCAGAGCCGCCAACCCTCGGCGCTGGCTGGAAGCCCATGTCCGGCGCAAGGCGCGGCTGCACATCTTCTCTTTCGCGGGCCCTTAACCAGGGGCCTCGATAATTGGCATAGGGTTTTTGGGGGTACACTACAGTAGAGCTATATTTAAGGAAGCCTTAGGAAGAATGTGTTGAGTTCTTGTGGCTTCTACATTACTTGAAGTTTCGCCGTTACTTCTAACACTTGTTGAATACGAGATCGGAGAGCTTCTGTAAGGGTTTCGACCGGGCCCCTGTACTCTGCCTTCAACAGCAGAACACCTTTTTGAAGGGGATGTCAAAGGTATCTAATGTAGGAACCTGATCAAGACATCCTGGTCCTGCAGCCCCGAAATATTAGGATCCATATTCTGAAGCCCAGGTTTCTCAGGCAGTTCTCTCCATTGAATGCTCGAGGCTGGCAAGCAAGAGTTTGAGCAAGAAAGTGGTCATGATTGTCAGCGCAGGGATTGCATAGGCGTAAACCTCTACATACCCCTTAACTCAGAAATTAACCCTAAACCCTAAACCCTTAGTCCTAGGAGCTCTACCACCAGTATGATTTGTAGGTGTGTTCTTAACATTCCTCTGCCCAAGCGATTTTGGAAGATCTGGGTTTTGAGGCTGAGGCTTCGGGGCCTCTAAGGGCTTCAGAGTTTTCGGGGCGTGCACCCAAAAATGGCTACCCCTGCCCCTCCTCCCTTCCTTGACTTTTGTGTTCGGGGTTCTCTTGTTCTCTGCATGTGCTGGTGCTTCTAAAGCTTCGCTTCGAGTCTGTTGCTGCAAGAAACGCCAAGGTCTCCAGGTGCGGTAGTTGGCAGATTGGAGTGTTGCTTCGCTGTCACCTTCACTAGTACTTATATAATAATATACTTTGTACAAACATAATTAAGGAATATAGTCTGTGTGGGCCATGACGATGGTCATGCTTGCTGATTGTGTGCACTACTGCATGTCGCTCACCGAAGTCTCCAGGCGGTGTAAACAGCTCTACACTAATTGCTAAGACCCGTGAAGGTGTATAGAAATTCTGATATCTTGAATGCTACCAGTCCCTAAACCCAAACCCTAGACCGCTAAACCCTCAACCCTTCAACTCTAAACCCAACTATCAGTCTTGTCTTCTTCCTGCTGAAAAAACCGTAACACAAGGCCTCGGGAGCCTGAGCCCTAACCCCAAAGCCCCGAACTCCAAACCGCCCCTGTCCCCTCCTTAGAGCCCGAAAAGCGCTTAAGGGTGGGTTTAGGGTTTAGGGTTTAGGGAAAGAGCTTAAGGGTTGAGGGTATAGGGGATTGCTAGCCCCAGCCCTACAACCCCAACCCGTGCAGCTCCAAAGTATGAACTCACATCTCAAAGCCCAGACCTAAATCCCAAATACCGAACACCCATAAACAAACATGCTAAGCCGATGGGCCTTTTGATCAACCTCTACACTCTAAACGCTAGACTAAAGCAAAACCCCAAACCCTCTCAACCAGGACCCAAACTTATCACCTAGATAATGCTTCACTCCAATAATCGAAGCCGCAATAATAGTTTGAGGCTTTCTGTTTAGGTCCTCGTACATGTTATTCGATCCTAGTCGTTTCTATTTCGCTCTACAACAAGGCACAGCTCTCTTCTGCTGTCTTATGTTACTATAATAACAAGAGGTTCGAGTAGAGAAGATGAGGCTCCTTGTCGGTTAGGTTAGATTAGATGAGATTCGCTTGTTTAGGCTTAAGATCAAACAAGATTAGAGCCTCACTGCGCCTCATACACTACCTGGACCCTAAGGAACCTAGATTTTTAGGGTTCCTTGTTATGATTTCCTTGTATGGCTCCTTACAAAGGTAGGTTATTTGAGGTGAAGGTAAACCCTACACCGCACAGAGGTCCTTAGAGTGCTGCTCCCCCCGCGTCCCCGTCCTGCATCCGTACGTAACCGTCGTAAACCAGGCGGTGACCGGCCTCAGGCACCCCGGGAGGATCCTTTAAAGGGATCTAAGGGTTTAGGGTTTAGGGGTTCCCCTAATTTGGGGCCTTATACTATTAAGGGTACTTTATAGGAACCCCCATTAAGGGATCTACTTTTTGGATCCTCCCGAAATTCTGGGATATTCACGCTTTTTCAAGGATCTGTTAGGGCCTTGTTTGAAGGATCTCTTGGGTTCCTTCAAAGGATGTAGAGAGGCTCTAGAAGTATCTTTCAGACCTAGGGAGTTTAAGGTTTGCGGCTCCTTCGCAAGGATCTATAGTCTTTCAGGGGTTGCAAAGATCTACAGGGTTCCTATAAAAAGGCTTGTTGAGGATCGACTGAGCTCCGTTAAGGGTGTCTTTAACGGATCCACGACGTTGCTGTAACTCTTCTTTAGGTTTGGGAGCGTTTAGCAGGATTTAGAGATATTCTTGCAGGGGTAATGTTGACTTCAAGAGCTATAGAGTTCCTTTAAAGTATCTCTTTAGGATCTATACAATGGTTCTTGCTGTTTCAAGGATCTGTGGGGCTCCCTCGAGGACACTACTCAGGATCTGGGGATATATCTTGAACCATACGGCCTTTAACATTCTGATTTCAGGTATATTCCTTGATTAAGGAACATACCTTAACATGCGGCATGATCCCGTATCTGACAAGACATATTCCTTGATTAGGGGATTTTGCAAGATCTGCAGCTTGGGTTGAGGGTTTGAGTGGCCTAGGTTTAGGGATTTCATGGCCTTAGGATTCTGGATTTTCAAGCTTTTTTCAAGCTTTAGGATTTGGGGTGTGGCGTTTTCAGTTAAGGTAGTCGTAGATAACACAGGATCCTACGATGCGCGGTGCCAAAAATGGCACCCTTTCAACTGCGAGCTCCCTTATGCAAGTACACATCTAACGCCGAAACCCTAAACCCTGAACCGTACATCCCGAACCCTAGATTCTGAACTCGAAACTCTAAACTGACCTGGTGCAATCAGCATAGAATCCCGCAACGTAGAGTCCTTAGCATAAGATCGCCGAAAAAACTGGACCCATTCGGACGGTCTGTGGTTTAGGTTTAGGATGTAGGGGGGTGGGTGCAGGTGATGCCGGCGAGATGCATTGTCGCCGGCAAAGGTATACCTTGCAGCTAGAGAGCCACTGTGTGCATTCCAGGGCTGTTGCGGCTTGCTGGGACGAGAGGAGTTCTTATGTGAGGCTTCATCTAGGAAAGCTTCACAGAATTCAAAAGCAGAGGTGCAAGAGCAAAGTAAGCTTCTAGCAGGCGACATTTTGGAACGACGACGAGTGCTACTATTCCTACTATTACCGCTACTGCTACTTCTACCTACGGATTTAGGGCGTTGGGTAGGTTTGTGCCAGGGGGTTTGCAGTAGGGAGCATTGGTACATCTTGGCCCTGCGCAGTTGCCAATGGATCTGCACGCTTTGGCAGCAAAGCATGTAGTTGAGGGCGGCGAAATACAATACGCGACTCAGCTTCACATAGATATCTGATCAAACAACCCTTTACATTGCCATGCTATTTAGATCTCGTTATCGTCCTTTAAGGTAGGGGGTGTTTCCTCGACAGGAGCCTAAACTTACACCGGTTTTGCCTGGTTTTGGGACTACCTAAAAACAAAAGGACCATCAAGACTGAACCCGAAGCCCTGAACACTAAACCCTAAACTCCAGACCCGAAACCAGCCTGTTACCTCACTCACTTGTCTTTGTAGGTACCTGCTCGTTGCACGGTTGCTGTTGTTGTTCTCCTTTGCGGTATGTGAGGCTAGGGTGCTTCTTGGACCCTGGAGAATTGAAACCTTTCTGTCTTGGAGAGACACAGACATGAATACAGGTGAAATAAAGACTGCGTCAACACCGTGATAGTTGTAAGCGGGTGTTGGGTATTTAAATTCTTTGGAACACCCTCTACCCTCAACCCTACCCTGAATCCTCCATCCTAAACGCCCAAACCCCTAACCGCATAGCCTGCTGCTATCAAAGGCCAGTTCATGCCAGTTCACATCGCCGCGAAGCGCTGCGAAGCGTAACCGGCCCTCAAAGCAACACAATCGCCACTAGGGTTCAGGGTTTCGGGGTTTCGGAGCTAAACGGCACCTATTTCAGGGAGGAATAGTCTACGTCATGATCCCAAGCTCTGTACAGTTGAATAACCTCAATGACGGGGTATTATTCGAGAATAACTACTTGAGGGTTCATGGGTGTATAGTTGTAAGCCGGGTGAGAAGTAAGCTAAATGCACATAGAAAAAACAGTGAAATCCAGCCATTCCCCAATGAATGAGGGTACTTTCAAGCCTAACGCTCTAAAACCAATTAAAATGCCGCGAAAGTGACTGCCTCCTGGGCTGAACAAGGGACAATTATATTCAACCTGCGGATCCGAAACCCTGCCGCTTTAAGGGTTAGGTCCTATAATTAGGGGTTACAATGGCGGTCGGAACCTGCTCAGGACCTAGGACCAGCCATGAATCTTGTCAGTAGATCTGCTGGATCGATGGAGAGCTGATTTACAAGACCCCAAGACCAGGCTCACTTGCCTTACCTGCCGGAGCTGCTTAAGAACAGCCCCGACCAAAATCAAGCCATCGTTGCGCCAGCGCAAGCAGAGTCAGTGCCGAACTTGGTAGGTACTTCCTGGACCCTACAAAACCTTCCTTTTTAGGGTTCCCCACTGTGATGATTCCTTACATAAGCGCTTAAACAAGTAGGTCATTTGGGCTGTTAAAGTTAAGTTTTTTACTTCCGAGGCATGAGAAATTGCGGAGTCTCTGTGACACAGACATCCACTGACTACCTGCGAAGCACGCGGTAGAAGTGACGATGTATCGCGGGATCCTGCACCTAAAACTGTAATCTCATATGAACTGTAATCCCTAAACTCTAGACCCTAACCTCTAAACCCTAAACCCGAGACCTCAAGCCCCTTAAATATGAAATACCGAAGTCCCAGGCCCTGAGGGCTTTTGAGGACCCTCCAATGCACCAATACAGTGTTATATAGTTAAATTAGTATTAGTATTAGTAATAGTATCATTGTTAGTATTATGAGTATTAGTATTAATATTAGTATTAGTACTAGTACTAGTACTAGTACTAGTATTAGTATTAGTATTAGTCTTAGTATTAGTATTAGTATTAGTATTAGTATTAGCATTATTAGTATTAGTATTAGTATTAGTATTAGTATTGGTGTTAGTGTTAGCATTAGTAGTAGTATTAGTATTAGTATTAGTATTAGTATTAGTAATTATTAGTATTAATATTAATAAGGCAAAGCTGCTCTGATGACACCTCTGAGTCCTGGATCCTGGAGCTTTCCAACGTCACGTAAATCCAGAATCCTGAAGCCCTCAACCTCGAAGCCTCAACTCAAACCCTGAATCCAAACACAATCCAAAACCCTTTCAAACCTCAACTCTAAACGCACTAAACCCGAAGCCCGGGGTTTAGGGTTTAGGGTTTAGGGGTCAAACCTGAAACCACGAACCCGGCTATCGGCGGCTTGCGACATACCGCCGAGGCGAGGCGCTTCTGCAGATGGACGGGCCGACCCTCTCTGTCGAAGCCAAAAGCAGCCTCGGGCTTCGTGCCTTTCGGGTCCTTGTTCGGGGTTACCCTAACGGTCCTAACAGTTTAGTGAACCTCAAAATGTAGGATTTCTGATTTAGGGTTCAAGAAGGGTCCCTACAGGGGTTTAGGGGGTTCGGGTCTTCGGGTTCAAGAGTTTCAAGCTTCCTGTTAGTTTAGGGTCCTGTGTGCGGGTTCTATCATAGGGACCCTCATTAGGGGTGGGTAGGGGGGAGGGGGGTAGGGGACTATATCTCCTTAAATAAGCATTAGTAGGTCCTTCTTATGGGCATTAAGGCCCACTACCCCCCTAAAGGTCCCTATGATGCTGTACGAGTCCCGAAGCTGTGGGATCGGCTATCATACACCCCCAAGCCCCACTGACCCTTACACCCTAAAGCCCTAACTCTAAATTCGAGAACCCTACATAAAACCCTAAACCCGAAAGCTCCAAAGCCCTAAACGCCAGGTCTGAACCCTAAGACCCAAACTGAACACCGTAAACTCGAAGACTCTAAAGACAAAAATACACATGTATGTCATCTTGAAGTAGAGACCGAAACTTGGACCATCATAATCCTCATACCCGATAGGGTGTCCCCCACTAATCATCCTTTCACCCAGAGCCCCTTTCAGAATGATCTTTTACAACCAAAGCAAGTATAGAGAACCAATTATCTACCATGTTCCAACTTTCTGGGATTCAACATTCAGAGGGTTCATAAACACCACATTCCCGCAAGACCGTCCTTTGCTTTTGTTGGACCTGCCTGTATCCCCAATCTCTACAAAATAGTAGGGTTATGACCCCTTAGTTAGAGAGTCTAACCCTTAAAACGGTAGGCTTTTGGATCCACAGGTAATGCCATAATAGCAATAAATCTGGACCCTCTTGGCTAAAACTCTATTTCATGAGATTCCATGCTGCAACCTATACAACTAAGCATAGAACCCCTAGGGTCCATATACCCCAAATAATGTATACATGTGGCCTTAAAGTTGCCCCTGTTTAGGTACATTGGGGCTCAAGTATATACTATTGGGGTACATTTTACAAGGACCCTTATAATGACCCTAAACCCTTATGGTACCCTTATAGAACCCTTAAGAGGAACCCCATAGGGTGCTATGTGGGGGTTTCCGAAAATAGGGGATCGTGATATAGTACCCCAAATAGTAAGACCCTTAGCGGAAGTAGGCCTTAATCCTATACCCCTACTATAGATCCCCTATAGACCCATTTAAAGGAACCCTTAAGATGAACCTTATTCTAATGCTTAGGCCCCTATAGCCCGGCTCCACCCCAGACCCTAAACCCAAACAGAATTTCATGGCCGGGGCTCCGTGAGGCCGTACCAGAGCCAACCGCCTTCGTCTTCGCGACTGTTGATGAGGCGTAAACCTGACGCGTTTTTTTCGGTTTAGGGTTTAGGGCGAAGAGGGGGAAGGCTTCCTGTAAGGGCTCCTTTAAGGGACCCTATAAGGGCTCCTATGTTATATAGTGAAGGTTAAAGGGTTAGGATTTAGGGTTTTGCAGGCGAAGAGGGCGAAGGATTGAGGCGGCTCGAAGTAGCCCCGAAAAATCTTTACATAGTATGGCCTTTGGGCTCAAAGGCTTTAAAACTTGAGTCCTTTTAGCCTATATAAGGGTTAGGGTTTCAGGTTTTTGGGCTGCAGGTTTGAGACTTTAGGTTCGGGGCCTTGGGTTTGGGTTTGGGAGATAGTTCTTGGGTTCAGGATTTGGAGAGTTGGGCTTCAGGCTTAGATGTATGCTTTTCCACCCTATAGGATTAGGGTGCAAAGGACTCTGCAGGTCTTTATCGGGGAACCTTGTGGTTGGTCATACTGGGAGGTCGTGTAGCTACACGGCAACAAGGTAGGTTCGTGTATGCCCGAATTGTGTGTTGTGTATGTCCCAGATGTTGACCTTGGGTCCTTGTTGGGTACGATATAACCTAAAGGCGTCAAAATCTAGGACTCTGAAAGGGGCGTTTGTCTTGCGGTGTATTCTCCTCACGAGGCTTATTTACAGGGTGAGGTAGAAGTACAGTACCGGTCTAGGGTACGATCGACAGGATACACCTTAAACCTTAAACCCTATAGACCCTAAACCCTAAACCCACACTAAGATCTCAGAGGACCTGACATCTGCTCTACGGCACTCACGGGCTTTGCCTGGAAAGCATTCCACCCCGTCCACACAAAGCTCGCTGAACTGATCCTGTGGAGGCTCTCTATGGATTCGGGGGTGTAGGGCTCAGGGGTCTCAGGACTGTAGGGATTTAGGGTCTAGGGTTCAGGGGTTTAGGGTTTAGGGTTTCGGGTTTAGGAATTTAAGGCTTTGGGATCTTAGGACTTTAGGGTTTAGGGATAAGGATGAAGGATTTAGGGTCAAGGCCAGGGCTTAGGGTTTGGGGTCTGAGGACTTTGGGGTTTAAGCTTAAGGTTTCGGGTTTCCAGAGAAAAAGACAACTTTAGAAAGGCCAAGAGGGTCTGAAAGAGGAGAGATTCACGGTTTAGGTCTTACTGTAAGGTTCAGGATGTAAGATTTAAGATCAGATCTAGGTTGTGCAAGGAGGAAAAAGTTTAGGGTTTGGGGTTTGGGGTGAAGTGCGGCCAGCAAAGGACTTGGCATGGGATTGATAGAATAGCGTCCACGTGACAAATGTACCCGAAGAAACGCAAACGACCCAGGCCGCAACAACCACAGCAACTACGACACCAGAATAGAGCAAAACACCACAATAAAGGAGAGAAAGGGTATCTCATCATGCGTTGATGTTGATGCCCATCGCCCTTGTTACGTGACGTCATCAGAAATAAGTCCAAAAGGAAACGCACACCGTAGATGGCGTTCTTTAGCGCTGACAAAGCGCAGGAGCCCTTGACACAGGCCAGAGCCCGCAGCTTCGATCAGGAACTCACGCAAAGCCCCAGAGTTTTGCGAACACCCTGAAGGCACGCTAAACCGCAAAAAGCCACATATCGTACCCTTATTATAGAAACCTTGAAAGAGCTCTGAAAAACCCAACAGCCCTACACGGTGAACCCTAGAAACCCTAAACCTTGAAATAATAAACCCCATTATAACCCCTAAATCCCCAAGCCCCTAAATCCCTAAACCCGTGACTTATAACCCTAAACCCCTACACCCCGAATCCCCAAACCCCAAAAAAACCAAACATCTAAACCTTAGAACCTAAACGCTAAGTAGGATGCCCAGGAACCTAGGAATAAAAGGGCTCCCTGTTTGTTATTGGGTAACTTTATAAGGAACCTAGGGCTACAAAAAGGGAGTAAGGGTACTACATGGCATCCTAGCAAAAATACCCTGAATCCTCTTGCGGAAGGTCCTCGGACAGCTCGTTGGCTGCAGGGCCGGGGCCCTCGGCACAAAAGCGTGCGACGTCGTTCTCCTTTCGCGGGTTTTACCCCCGTAGGGATCAAAGTAGCCCCAAAACCTTATATAGTATGGTCTTTGGGCCCAAAAGCCTTGATATACGAGTCCTTAGACCCTGGGGTTAAGGCTTACCTGGACCTGGGCCCCCGTGAAATGTGTAGAATACTAGCTGTTTGTAGGTGTTGGGCCATTATGTCAGATTTACTTTTGGGGGTCTTAAGGTTGGTGTAGGTTGAGGTATGCGCCTTTTTGAAACTTCAGGGATATTGGAAGAGCTGGGTATGACATGATGCAAACCCTACATCCTACTTGGAGGGGCAGGGGACTTAGTAAGTAAGGTTATAAGTAGGGTTATAATTGGGCTAACCCCATTTAGGGTACTTATAACTCTACTGATAACCGACTTACTGAGTCCACTGCCCCTCCAAATAGGGATCTAAGGACTCGTATATTACGGCTTTTGGGCCCAAAGACCACTATCAGCAGCTCTGGACTTTCTCGCGAAACGTCGGACTAAATAGCTCGAAGTCCTTAAGTGGACCCCCACACCCTTATCAAGGCGGGTCCATCAGTACGGACCTATGTAGTTTCCTATATTCACAACATGTATGTACATTGTACTGTTAGCTTGTAATTTGGGGTCACTCATGGGTGCATTTAGGACCGGAGCCTCAATTACCAGTACCCTCGAACCCTCAACCCCACCCCTAACCCATGCTCCTCACGCCAGCGGACAGTGTCCTGCGCCAGCAAAGAATGCGAACTTACAAAGGGTCTTCCTAGGGCTTTATACTACTTACAGAAGGGCTGTATAGTGGTTTTGGGAGGCATGTGCCACGGTGGCTCTCGGGATTTATTCGAATTTTCGGAATTTGTGACCTGGCCCATTATAAAGCCAAAAGCCTAGCTGCAGCCAAAAACAAGCACCCTAAAAATGACAATCTAGGTCCATACAGTGCGTATGGGTCATAAGGCCTTAGAGTTGAAACGCCCTCTGCCCTAACTAGCCCTTAACCCCAACTAGCTTCACGACGTGTCCAGACAAAACCAGCATGCTTGAATCGATGAACTGAGGTGTTGAGAGGGCGAATGGACGAATGGGGTACAATTATAACTACTATTACTACCATTCTTCCATTCCCTACTAACTAAAGGTAAGCAAGCAGGGGCAAGCATGCTATGTTTTCAGGTTTAGGGGGCCAGGTCTCCACAAGGGCTGCATAAGAGGATCGAACATAGGGGCCTTTATAATTAGAATCGGGTTGGGGGGATATTATAAAATAAAAATAATAAGGAACCCCCCCAAAACCCTATTCTAATTATTAGTTAAGGCCCCTGACCTCTGCAACCAACTCTGCTGCCCGACTTTCTCTTGAGACGGCCATTCCTCTCACAGGTTACCAAGCCTCTGTCGAGTCGTTGCGTGCCTTGGTTCCGCCACCAGCGTCGCCTGGCGAAGCAGACTGGCTCGACAACGACTTGCCGGCCCTGATACATTCTGATCTCTTGTCGGATCGTTTCCAGCAGCAACTTGCTAATATACCTTCCTGGCACAGTGCTGATAGATCACAGGTGACCACGCAGGAGGTAATGATCTTTACTGATGGCTGAGCTGCCACAAACCCGGATGACGTTCAACCATGCTCCTGGGCCATCACTGTATGGATCTCCACTGTGGAAGGCCTTTTCTTCCTTGGCGGTGCAGCAGGCCAGGCTGCTCCCCCTGAGACTCCCTACCATGCAGGTGAGTCCGGGGCCATGCAATCACGGCAGAACTCCTCGCTCTTTTTTGGGGTCTTGTATGGGCCTCGGAGTTTGGCCCTGTGTTTGCGGTGCCAGTTGCCTTTTACTTTGATGCAGAATCTGTTGGCCGCAGCGTTTTTGGCGAATGGCGCCAACTCACCTATCCGGCTTTTGATGGCCGGCCCTCTCTCCTCTGCTTTGCCGTGGCAGTCCGGCAATACCTTGCTCGCTTGTGCCCGATCAAATACGACCATGTTAAGGGACACTCTGGAGCTCTCGGTAATGAGGTTACTGATGCCGTTGCCAAGACTGCCCGTCGCCTTCCTGGAGATTTCTGGTGCAGATGTTTGCCAGACTGGCCAGCACGTCTAGCAGCACATCCGCTTGCTCTGTGGATTTGGATGTTGCCGGGTGCCACGGCTGACCTTCCAACCTTGTTTGCCTTTGAGAGCGAGGCTGTACGCCTTCGAGCACAGCCGCCAGTAGCTCACGTTGCCCCTTCGATGGGTACCCGGCTTGTGCAGCCGCCTGGCAAATCTGTTCATTACGACATCACGGCCATCTCTTTCAATGTCCTTACTCTTCGCGACAAAACCACAGTTCGTGGTACCACACATGTTCCTGTGGGACTTCGATTTATGGGCCGCCGGGCACTACTGCAACAGGAATTGGCTCCGCATAGGCCACTTTTTGTTGGATTTCAGGAAACTAGGCTGCCAGAGTCGGCCATGTCGCCGGACCAGCAATACTACATTCTGCAAGCCTCTGCTACGGCAGAAGGCTCTGGCGGCTGTGCCTTATGGATTGCTCGGAATGTGCCTTATGCCTCTGTCGCTGGTAGTCCGCAGTACCTCCAGGAGCAACAGTTTGTGGTAACCGGTCACTCCGATAGGCACCTCAATGTCTCTATTGTGGCCCCACACCTTTCGCTTTTTGTGGTTGTGGCACATTGTCCATCTCTCGCCAACCATCCCGCCTCGGTCATCGAAGCCTTCTGGCGGGAGCGTCATGCGGATATCGTACGTCGGCCCGCTGGTGCCGACTTCATCATTCTAGTTGACGCAGATGCACAGGTCGGAGGTTACGAGACCGAACATGTATCCTCCCATCATGCTGACACAGAGAACGAAGCCGGAACCCTTTTCCATGATTTTCTGGTCGGCATTTCAGCTTTTCTGCCAAGCACCTTCATTGGGATTCATGAAGGCCCAAGCCACACATTGGTCGCCCGCAGTTTCCAACTATATTGTCACACACGACACCTCCCGTGGAGTCTCCTGTTTGTCGATGTTCAGGCTGCCTTCTATAGGGTTGTGCGCCAGGCCCTGACTCCACATCACGATGATGATACAGAGCTCTTGCGGATCTTCCACCGCATGGGCCTGCCTCCTGAGGCTGTCGTGGCATTGCGACAGCAGCTACAGTGTCTGGCCATTCTTCCCTCCCTTGGCACACCTGCTCAGGTTGTTGCTATGGTGCAAGATATGATGCGTGCCACATGGTTTCGTATAGATAACCATGCCATCATCACCATGACGGCCTGTGGCACGCGCCCAGGTGATCCTGCCGCCGATATGCTGTTTGCGTTGGCCTTCGGCGAGTTTTTGAAATCGCTCGACTCCACTCTCGCCCTTGAGGGGCTTCGTCCAGAAATGCCGGCGGCTGCCCACCCACCTGTTTGGGCCCAGCTCTCCACTTCTGATACCCTCGGGGCGCCCGCTTGGGCGGACGACTTTTTCCTGCCCCAAACCGCGGCTTCTTTCTGTGATCTCGTTGCCCGTACACGCCGCACGGTTGAGCACACCACAGCTCGGGCCACCTCACTAGGCATGAAGCTTACGTTTGCTCCCACCAAGACAGCCGGCCTCCTCCCATCAGGACATGATTGGACTCTACTTTCCCCGGATGTGGTCCCCGAAGATGGCCACCTTAGCATTGCTTTTGCTGATCCGATCACACGGGAAGCCCACACTCTTCCAATTGTCCACTCATACCGGCACTTGGGGGGAATCTTGACTTCCACCACCACCCCCAAGCCAGACCTGTTGCTGCGACAGTCGCAAGCTTTGGGTTATGTGAAGCCGTTGCGCAAACAGCTCTTTGCCAATAAGGACATTCCTTTGAAAGTGCGCACCACTGTACTCCAGGCCCTGTCTGGTTCACGACTTGTGCACTCTGCCGCAGCCCTTATTCTGCCTGCCAACATTCACCAACGCATGTGGGATCGTGCATACCTCCAAGTGTGGCGAGCTCTCGTCCCCAGACACTCGGCTGACAAACAGCTTCACAGTGTCGAGGTCTTGCGACTGGCACAGGTGCCGTCCCCGCCACTTGCGCTTGCCAAGGCTAGAGCGGCTTTCCTCAAGCAACTCACTCTTCATGGCCCGGCAATCCTTCGCCATACCCTTTATCGTTACTGGGTTGGCCATCCCCGCACGTCTTGGTTACAGCAGTTAGCGGCAGATGTACGGCTTGTCACCTCTTATGTGCCTTCCGCTGCACATATCTTTCCCTAAGCATCCGAAGACCTCAAATATGACCAAAGTGCTGGTTTGGTAAGCACAACAACGCAAGGCCTTGTTTTTTGTGGTTCCGGACGGAGCATGTGTGTGATGTATGAAAGTCCTAGGATTTCATATACTTTAGCCTATGGCATGCTTTCCTCTAATTACACATGCATGGTAAGATGCCATTTATAGCGAGCTTGCTTGACTTCATTGATTTTTTGAAAAAAATATTAAATTCCGACACGTTGGTTGAATTGAGAAAACATTGATTTATAGATTCTTGCACGGGTTTTGCTATGTGTATCAGATATGTATATAATGTATATATATATATATATATATATGTATATATATGTATATATATAGGGATTTGTCCGACACAGAAGCCACCAAGCAGCATCAACAACGAAAACAAATATGTATACATATATATAAATATATATTTTTATATTTACTTATATATATATATATACATATGTATCATTCTACATATATATACATATATACATATTATATATATATATATGTATAAATAGATACCGATTTTTAGAGATATATAGATATATATATATATATATATATATATCGAATCCTTGCATTAATGCACAGGCTTGGAAGTCTCCAACCACCCGCCGCTTCGCCGCCCAGGAGCATGCAGGCATACATGTACAATTAGGAAGACCATGATCCTAGATATATATAGTGCAGTCACGATTATTCAAGGAATATGTTTTTCAAATTAGGAACTGGCCAGAATTCCCCAGATGTCTCGCACTCCAGACTGCACCGAGGCCCGTATCAAACAAACACGTGTGCATACAGACGACGTAGACTGCATGCATAGCCATATATATATGACAGAAGCCTGAGCTCCCAATAATTCGTAATTCATGGTCGGTGCCCGCCAGCTGCGGCCTTCCTTTTGCCGAGGCCGGAAGCAGTGGATGGGATGAGGTTTCAGTGTTATAATATGTTTCAGCGATTTCAGGGGAGTTGTGTCTTCGGGGAAATATATTTTGTATATATATATATATATATATATATATATATATCGAATACATGGAGATGTTAATGTAGTTTTATTGATCTGGGCTTTGGCATAATGCGGGTTTCCGGTGCTGAGTGTGGAGCAGACATGTGTGCTTCTGCAGTTACAAGCATGGGCTCAGACCGCTGGGTCATGTACATGTTTAGGTTGCCTAGATTATATATATTTGTTAGTGCACAGGCATGGTCCTAGAATATGTACAACAATATATATACGGAGACTTGTAGACAGACAAGTCTCCGTTTGTCTGAGCCCTGCTTGTCGAGATCTTCCCTTCGGATCCTTGGCCGGAGCAGCTGGAAAATTAAATAGACATATATGTTATGTCACATAGTTGAATACGTATATTATATATATATACATACATACACATACACTAGCGAGATATATACTATACGTGTGTGTAGCTTATGTATACCTATATATAATATAATATATATATATATATATATATATATTATATACAGATTCCAAGCTGAAGCCGGCAGGGGACGGATCCGTCGAGATCTCTAATTAAGTAGATATATACGACTACTACCATATATATATATATATATGATATACATACGATACCAGGATATCTACATACATCAGCTCATGCATCATGAGCCTTAATTTATAGGCATAGCTCTAGATCTAAAGCTGCATTTTGCAGCACTTCGCCATGGCCGATCCCGCGAATGCTGGCGATGAGCAGCGGCGAGCACCTGGGTCTGGTGTCACCCTGCTGCGGGGTCGCTGGGTGCTGTGCTTCGTCCCGGAGGTGGAGATGATGAATGTCCGCGGGTACAACCACGTCGGTGTCGACAGGTACCCCGGGCTTCCGTTTATGCCATGGCCTCCGGAGTTTCCGCCTTTTTTGGAGCCGCCTGGGTCAGTGGTGCGACCGGGCGACTTGTTGGTACCCATGGCTGCACAGTAAAGCCTTTATATACATACATATATATAAGCATATATATATATACATTATCTTTCTGATATATATATATATATATGTATATATATATGAAGATACATGTCAAGTTTTGCAGAGAACTGTTTACAGTTGATATTCGCTGCCTAGATATATATATATATATATATATATTTTTTTTTGGTTTATGTATTTAGATATATATGTATTTAGATATATATGTATTTAGATATATATGTATGTCTTTATATACATTGGAACCAGGCTCAGCCCGGGAACCTCGGTGCTCAGCCTGGGGTCTGGCCTGGCGAACGTGCTGCCGTAGCTGTGGCGGCAGCAGTAATTCTTGGTTTTTGTTAATATCTAATCGAATTCATATGCTGGGACTTATCTTGAATCAATCGGAGGATGGACCTGCCACGACTGCCGCCCCTGAAGCTTCTCATGAAGCTGAAAGGCTTTCTGCGGTAACTGTGGCAGCACTACACAACAAATACATATGTTAACTATATGTGTATACATATATGTATATATACATATATTTTTTCCTCATTATATGTCTATAGATTATACGGTATCTCATAGTTAAATTGCACACTATATATGTATATATGTTCCTATATATATATATATATATCCAGGTCGATGCAGGAGCAGCCCAAGCACCTCCGCCTTCTCCCGTGGTGCATGCTGGGGCGAGTTTAGGATCTGAAGGAGCTGCTGCAGTAACTCTGGCAGCAAATAATAAGCTCGGCTGGCCTTTTTGTTGTTATATATACAGTACCACGTATGTTTTTGCTGAGCTCTTTTATATTTATGCAGGCCCCACGAGCAGCACCACCGCCTGCGGCTCCCAATGCACCTGGACCACCGCCTGCGGCTCCCAATGCACCTGGACCACCGCCTGCGGGTCCCAATGCACCTGGTCAAGATACTAAGGCAGTCTTAATTCACGAATTGATTTATGCACATCTGTCTACCCCTATATATTAATATATTTCGATATATTAATATAATATATAATGTATATATATATATATATGTGTGTATAGATATATATATATATATATATATTATGCATCATAAATGTCATGGTTGCTAGCGATTCTTCGGCAAGAGAACCACATATATACGGATGTGTTCGTGTGTATAATGTGTATATACACACGATGAGCGAGCAGAGGTCACACCGGACCTGGCGACGACCCCGAAGGCTGCAGCTGCCGCTTCGCAAACAATATAGTTTACTCGCTACTGACTGATCTATAGAGCTTCTATATATATATATATATACATATTTACATGTACATATGTATTTTTTTTAATTTTTGTAGTATACAAATTGAGCGAACAGAGGTCGCAGCGGACCTGGCGAAGAATGCCCCGAAGGCTGCAGCTGCCGCTTCGCAAACAATATAGTTTACTCGCTACTGACTGATCTAAAGAGCTTCTATATATATATATATACATACTTACATGTACATATGTATGTTTTTTTACTTTTGTAGTATACAAATGAGCGAACAGAGGTCGCACCGGACCTGGCGAAGAATGCCCCGAAGGCTGCAGCTGCCGCTTCGCAAACAATATATATATAGTTTACTCGCTACTGACTGAGATATATAGAGCTTCTATATATATATATATATATATATTTACATGTACATATGCATGTTTTTTTTGCTTTTGTAGTATACAACAAGAGGACAGAGAATAGGTCCATAGAATGACTCGGGCTGAGGGTGATGACGTCAGAGCTTCCGGACTGCCAGAAGCGATCCCTGCGAAGACAGAGGCAGTACCCGCACAAAGTTTGGAAGTGTATATGGTATATAGCGATGCATGACTTAAATCAGTTTGGCTAAACACGGCTGCACAGGAGCCGACAGCTGCAGCTCCGCCCGAGCCTTCGGAGCCGGCACCTCCTGGGCTTCCGGTGCCGCCACCACCGCCTGAGGAGCCTCAGGATGATGCAATGGCTCCAGTGACTCTGGCAGCAACAGTATTAGATATTTGTTAGTGCGGTTGTAATATAGTGATCAAGATGTGTGTATACGTATATGTATATACAAGTAGCTATATATGTATATGTTGAATAGACATGTATATATATATATATATACACCACACATTACAAATTGATATATGTATATTTACATACATATATGTGTATGTATCTAGGCATATATATATGTATAATACGTGTATATAGCATGTTGGGATCGAGGCCGTTCCCGGCAACATGACCCCGGAGAAGAAGGATGCGGCAGCTCCTCCAGCAGCTGTGGCAGCAGGAAGACATGTACATCTGATATAGTTATGAAATAAAGAACAGCTACCGAAACGGGCGAAAGGTGACTCCACCTCGACGGGGCTCTGCAGCTGCTGCCACTGGTTCGAGACCTCGTGGCTCCCGGTCGCCAGCAGCTTGGACTGAATATATTGTGTAACTTACTATATACCTGTATCTGTAAATCTATATATATATATATATATGTATATATACACATATATATATATATATATGTATCTGTATATATATATATATACATATACACATATAATATATTATTGTAATACTTGTTATATAGTACATTTGCTCTGCAGGGGCTCGACGAAGAGCTCGAGGAGGAGGAGGTCTCCTGGAACCCTTCGGATGTCGAGGAGGCGGACAAGAGGGGGGCCAAGAGGAACGTGCAGGACATCTGGTTTCGTCCGGATGGGCAGGCTCCACAGAAGAAGGCCGCGAAGAGGGAGACTGGTGCAAGGGCGAAGAGCAAGTCGAGGCCACAGCCACGTGTGCCGAAGGTGCCGAAGGCGAAGAACGTGGTGACGAAGGCAATGCCAAAGAGGCCGGTTCCGCCCGCCTACCCGCCACCGAAGGCTGCTGGACCGAAGGCTGCTGGAGCCAAGGCTGCTGGAGCCAAGGCTGCTGGACCCAAGGCTGCAGTGGAGGTTCCGCCGCCGAAGGCTTTGTTTTCCCTCTCGAGATGGAGGCCAAAAGGCAAGGTGGTGATTGGCCAGGATGGCTCTGGCTATATCGCCGGC